ATGTCTCCAGAATTCCTCTGTTGTTTGTACAGTTTTCAAGACATTAGAGTCCTTGAATGCTGGAGCTCCAGGTTAGCAGCTTGGACCCTGAGAAACAGTATGACATGTGGCAGAGGTTACTCTAAGTTCTTCTTGTGTTAACTAATGTGGGAGGGCATGTCTTGAGCACTTTCCAGGTAAACTGTAACTGTGATGCAAAAATAACTCAGCAAATATCAACTCAGGTGAGAAGAACCTTCTCTGGAACAGCTGCTTGTGACATCATGACTTGTCCTCGAAATTGCGTTAGTTAAGGCACTGTTAAACTGAGAGGGTTGTCTGGACACAGACTGTTCTGTTGATGAACACCAGATCAGGTGTCACAAGTACTCTGTGAAATCATGGGCAGAAGTCCTCTTATTAAGTCCTAACATGCATTTTTAGAGATGAAAGCCAAATATTTCTGTGACATGCTTTCCATTTGGGTTTTGTTTGGTTTTTTTCTTTTAATTCAGGATGAGAAGAAAGATTAGGTTTAGGATAAAAATATGTCAGTAGATCCTGTATTTTATTGGAGTTTTTCTGGTTGTTGTTCAAGGCTCTTTCTCAGTTTATCAACAGTGTATGGCTTTGGTTTCAAATCCACCTGGTATTTTATAATGCTTCTCAAAATGGGAAGGGTTTCATTAAACAGGAAGGAAATCTGTCTACGTAGTACATGTGCGATTGACTTAGGGATGTTGGATTCGGAATGAGGAGCAAAGAAGTGCCACAGGCACATGACTGTTCAATGGATTGCATTTTCAGCTGTCGTCCACATGTCTCCCAGGCCTGTGATGGTGCCATCTGGTCAGGATGATTGTGGTCAAACCTGCACTCTTTTCACTTACACAGTGCACCAGTGAGAGTCAAAAGAAAGAAGGAGACTCAGCCTGTCGCTCCAGAGAATTTTCCTAACTTAGTTAATGCTCTCAGACTAAACTGCAAAGATCTCAGGCCATGAGAGGTTTGGAATTTTGTGTTAACCTGAGCTTAGATGTGGCGTTTGGGGATATGGTTTAGTGATGGCCTTGGCAGTGCCCAGTTAGCAGCTGGACTCAGTCTTACAGGGCTTTTCCAACCTAAACGGTTCTGAGATTAGTGCAAGGGAAACACCATTAGGACCTGTCATTGTTTTAGGGTTTACTCTCTTTTAGAAGCTTACCTGCTGATTTTGCTGTTTCTATATGCTTATTTTGTTTTGTGTGGTACTTTGTTGATCACCTTCCTAATGGGTATTGATCACCTTCCTAATGGGTATTCCTGGCCCACCTCTTGCTTCTGGAATTTTTCATTTTTGTCCCTTCCAAATTAAGTCTGTGTCCCAGGACTACGTCTTAGAAGGATGAATGTCCAGGGGCTGCACTGTCCAGGGACTGTCATTTCCCACAGTTCTTCTGTTCATGTTTTTTGAAATCTCTGCCTATTCCATAGCTACTATTAGTTCACTATCTGGTATGCTTAAATCTTCTAAATAAATTACAGCTTTATGTCCTGATGAAGGAGGTGTAAAAATACCTTGGTGAAGACAGTCCTCATCGTAACAGAAAAAAATCCCCAAATGAAACTACACAACAAAGAGTGTAGACCTTGCTTTTTAATGATTTTAGGAAGCAAGCTAACAAAAATCTCTGTACAATAGAATTTAGCATTATGTAACAGTTCTTGGGTTCCTTTTCCTTTTAGAATTCGTCCAAAGAAAATGAACTTGAGTTCAGCCCAGCATCCCTTACTAAAGACTGTGACCAACCGAGTTTCTGTGAGTAAGGAATTCCTGGTTTCCACTGAGTTTCATTCCCCTGGATGTGCAGGGAGTGTGTAGAGAGCGAGGCTGTGGTTTTGTTCTTGCTGCTGTTTCTTACAGGGGGGCCTGTGGAATTTGGCCTTGAACAAAAAAGAGTAGCCAGTGAGGCCAAGAGTGCAGTGCAGCTGCTGCAGCAAATGGACCAAACAGGAAAAAAAGGAAACATGAAGTCAGAAGGAAGAGGTCTCTCACAGTTCTGGAGAAGGTACTAATCCTACACTGATGAGCAGAGGCAGTCCTGGCTCTGTCCAAGCCTGTGTCAAAGGCTGATTCTGGCAGTGCCAGGTTGTTCTCCATAATTTTGAAGGATGGAGACATCTTTTCTGTGGTTAAACCAAAGTCTCCCAAGACAAAAAAAAAGGGATGTCATTTTATCTCATGCTAAGGGGCAGCGTTACCACTGAATGTTTCTCTTCAGAGCTGTCTTTGGGAAAAACTCCTGATGAGAGAGGGTCACTGAACCTCCATCACAGCCCTTATACAATTTGGCTTTTCTCAGCTGAGAAGTGCCAGCTAAAAGGGTCTTCCCAGATGGATCTTCAGCCCCATGAAGCTGCATGTGACCTTTATTTGGCCATTGAGCAAATCTGGACTTAGACTCCCAAAGGCACTATTTTAAATGGAAATCAGTGTCACTGTTCAGACACCTGCTGGCTGGCCAAAGGAGTTCTCTCATGCTACCGAGGCTGGATCCTGTGAGTGCCATCCATCACTGCACAGAACCAGGTGGATATTGGCAGCTGCTGGTTTTTGGTTTTGAGTTGTTTTTTTTTTTTAAATAAAACTCCTTGTTAATTGTCATGTGTGCTGTTCCTTTAATGACCGAGACCAGACCATTACTGCACAAGTTATTCATTGTGTCCTCTATTTTTTCAGTTTCCCTCTGTTTTGTTGTTTTGTTTTGTTGTTTACTGGCATTGTGTCCTTCTGTTGGACAGAAATTAGCTTTTTTTCCCCAATATTCAGAGAAGTATTTTAAGTCTAATGTGCTCTTCTTGTTGTTACTATTTCCCCAGCATCATCTTTTCGCCACTACAACATCTTTTTGGTGGAAAAAACTGACCTGGAAGTACTAATTGTTGAGCAAAGGTAGATTTGTAGTATGACTGTTGGGTTGTAGTGTTTCTTCTGTAATTCACCTTTTCACATTGCTTGTCTCAGCTATTAAATGCTTTAAATTAAATTCTACTTTGCTAATGTTTTCAAAGTAACATTCTGAAGATGTTGGGTTAGAACAACATGTGGGGTTTTTCTTCACATCTTAGAGGTTTTGGAATAGAGCAAGAAACTTTAAAATTTTGATGCTTAAGTGTCATAAATTGTGACTTTCACGTTATGTGGTATTCTAATAAAACAAGCATCAGTTTGGAACTGTGTGTTATTTTAGTCAGACTTACCCATGTAGAAGATACTCTTTCCCTCAAAGAAGCAGCATAGGTTTCTAGTATTTGATGGACTTCAGTACTATGCTTCACAGTTTTACAAAGGTCAAAATGAAACATTTTGCATTAGATATTGCCACTACACTACAACTTGGATAATTATTTATGCATTCAATATGTAATGGGCTGAGGTTGGAATTGAAGATTTCAGACATGCCAAGGCCACGCTCAGGCCTTTTTGTTTCCATGTATGCTTTTTAAATGATCTGTCATTCTTGAACAACCCTCTGAGCTGGGCAGCTGGCTATAGGTGACTCTGCTCTGGCAATGGTTTGGGCCCAATGGCCTCCAGAGTTTTCTGCCACCCTTGGCCATAGTGTGATATGAGGAAGTGTTTCCTGAGAGAGTTTCTTTTCCTTGTTAAACCATCTGCCTCTTGACCCATGAGTGTTTTCTCACATTTGCCTTTGTGACTCTCTCTCCTGTCCCCCTGAAGGAGTGGGAGTGGGCAGCAGGATGGGGGGTCACCTGCCAGCCAAGGCCACCCCCTCCCAACCCTGAAGGGACTGCAGTCTGCAGAGAAGCCAGGTGGGAGCACTGGCAAAGCAAGAGCCCCACTGTACACAGAGCCTGTACCCTGCACTTGGCTAGTGGCATTGAGTGTGACTTGCAGTTGTAATGGACAGGAGAAGTCTGAGGGAAAGCTGAGCCTTTGAAAGGCAGGAAGGAAGACTAGCCCACTTCAAATAAGCATGAGTCCTGGGTAACCCAAGGTATTATTGTAGTCCATATCTATCTGTGCCCAAACTTGTTATTGTCTGTTTAAGATCCAGTGCCATGGATGGAAGCTGACACACAAGGGACAGGGGTTGCTGGGGTTCCTTTTCAAAGTCAGGGGTCTCTCAGGCAGATCCCTCTTACTTGTTATCTTTGTTCAGGGCAGAATCTTTGGGGGTTTTGTGCCAGTTTTTCTTTTCCCCCCTCCCTTTTGTTCCCCTATTGCATCTTGGCCTGCCTCAAGGCAAATTCCAGAAGTGCCGTTCAACAGCCCTGTCCCAGAAGGAAAACAGTGGCCCTGCTCCAGTCTTGAGTTGCCCATAGTTTGCCAGCAGTGGCCAGCTGAGGCAAAGGCACCAAGTCACCCCAGCCCAGCTGCTTTGCCTTGCTGTTGTCTGCCACAATGAAGGGAAAGTCTCTCCATGAGTTCTAGCTGTTTGCTGAGTATCACCTGCTTCAATGCACCAACCAACCACCTTTGCTGATGAAGAGATAAGTAGGGAGGAAGGCTGACTGTATTTTTCTTTTGTCTCCCTATTCATGGTTGCCTGTGGCAGATTCCATCTTGAAAGGGGGGAGTACCCCTCTGTTTTCGGTTTGTCTTTGTTTCTATGGAGTTTGTGGGATTTAGCAATTTTGTATCTAGTGATTATTTCCACCAGTAAGGAGAAATTAAATATGAGTAGATATAAATGGATTGTGTACACTGGACCTCACCTTGATCTACAGGGGGCTGCATGTTATTTGAGTTTTGTCACATGCACCTGCACAGGACAGAGGGCTGCGAATGGTCTCTCAGCTGCTCAGCAAGACGTGACCAGCAGTCATCTCAGGGGAGACCATGGGGACAAGTGATCACCTCACAGGACTGCAGAGACAAAAGCCCCCTTGTCTCTTCCCTCCCTGGCTGCCCCATGGCTGCACTTTGCCATCCTGACAGCCAAACAGTCTCCTCTGGGTCTAGAACTAGAGGGAGGGATGTGGACCTTGCGGTGGCATAGCTGGACATCCCCTGCGTCATGCTGCTGGGGAAGTTGGTGTCATTTCTGGGCCTACCAGGCCACCACAGCATCCCTACATCTCTCTGGGACAGCTCCATGGAAGGGAAGGGGTTTGGTGTCCTTGTGTCCCCACATCTGACTCAGTGTCATGGGATGCTGGAGCTCATCCTGCAGCAGCCCCGTATGGGCCTTCTCCATGTCCCTAGAGGTGGAGACATCAAAAATGCTGACATGGAGCAGTGACACTTGGTCCCAGTTGTGCTTGGAAGGCTCACATACCAACATGAATACCTCTGCTGTGTTTGGTTGTTATCAGGGCACGCCACCTCAGACTTCACCTCGGCTGTGGTTTCAGCTCTGCCTTCACCTTCAACGTGGGCACCCCTAGGAAAGGGGGAGAGAAACTGCAGGTGAGGGAGGAGCAGAAGATATGGGATTGTGAGGTGAGGCTGGCTCTGGTCACCACATTGTTCCTCCAGCACTGGACACTGCTGCCAATTTGGACAGAGCATGGGGATGGCTCCCACCATTTTTGTTTCCGTGCACAGGGAGCTCTTGGGGAGCGGGACCGGATTCCTCACCAAAGCTGGTGGGAAGGAAAGGGGAGTTGCCAGGCTGCAGCCGATCCTCAGACCCTCCCCTATCGGGCTGTTTAGGGCAGACTTCAGACTCCCCTACACTGTGGGGTACAGGGAAGCAGAGAGACAGCTCCCAGGCTCCATGGCATTGGACAGAGCTCTGTGGAAAGGGGGAAGCTGCATATCTACTGCAACTCCCTGGAATGGGCTTGATGGTGGGGTCCCATCCCACCTTGAAGATCCTGTCCAGCCAACTGCCACTGCTCTAGGAGTCTGATGACTGTTAGTGGGAAACAGTCCTTTCCAGGCCCTGCAGCCTATCTCTCCCCTTGGGGACCACCACACTCTAGCTGCTCTAGTCCCTTCACTTCTTGCACCCCAAGAAGAGCTCCTGGAGAACTGCTTCCTCAGCCATTCCTGACCCCACAGCTGTGGTCCAGGATGGAAGTGCTCATCACCTCAACTCTGGGAAGTCCCTTCCCAGGATGAGACCAACAGCGCTGAAGGGTCAAGGGATATTACCATCAACTTTTCTCCTTCACTCTCTTACCTCTCAGAGCTCTCCTGCAGGTTTGCCACATCACTGGCTTACATACCTGTGGCCCATCAGAGTGGCCTGGCTGTAGGATGGCTGGGAGGTAACAAAAAGGCATGGGACCAGTACACAGCCTTGGGGCACAGAGAGCCCAGGCACAAGGCCCCGTGGTTGGAGTAGGGCTTGCCTGCCCTGTGGGAAAAACAGCCATGTTGTTGTGAACCCACCTGGCAGTGGAGAGCAGGTGGCAATGTCTGCTCTATGCCGGGCTATCGAATGCAGGGAGCCCCCAACACAGGGAATGATTGGCATCTGACTCCATTGATTCAGAATGCTGAACAATTGCTTTATTAAAACTATATTATATTACATTATACTGTACTATATTAAAGATATATTAAAAAGATACTAAAGAAAAACCCTTGACTCTGTCCAGACAGTCAGGACACAGTTTCGAGTGATTAGTTAATTAATATAAACAACTATCACTAGAATCTAACTACCAAATCCCTTCAGGTAAACAATCTCCATAACACATTCCACATGTACAGAAACAACAAGAACAAAGAATAGAGATAAGAAATTTTTTTTCCCTTCTTCTCTCTGTGCTTCTCACTGCCTTCCCAGGAAAAATCCTTGAGAAAGCTTGTGCCTGCTGCTCTCTGTGAAGAGAGCTGAGGCCACACAGGGCCAGATATGCCACACACAAGTAAGGGATATTCCTATCAGGGCAATGGGTGCAGCACATGGCCAAGAAACATGCTGACCTGAAAGGGGGGTAGAACAGAAGACTCAGCTCAGCCACATCACCACAATTGTCAAGGTGCTGCTGCAGCCATGAGGGACTGCTCCTGCATGCAGTGGAACAACCTTGCTCACAATCAAATTCCCCCAGCACTCACAGCCATACTCAGGATGCCCCAGCTCACTCCAAGTGGGAACCTCAGAGCCCTCCCCTAAACCTCAGTGCCAGCCCCACTGGCTGCCAGGGCCATTAGCACCAGCAGAGCTGCGCAGGCAGAGCCAGCCTGAGGAGACCTCTGAGGCCACATCTCTCAACAGTCTGTTCTTCCTGCTGCTGCACCAGCTGCTGCATACTCTGGGCCTCACTGCTGGAACCATGCAGTCTCCTTGCTGCTGCCTTCTCTCCCTCCTCCTCTACCTCTTCCTCCTCTCTGGGACATGGGCAAACCTAGATGGTAAGTGGGACCCCTGGCTCATACACATCTACCTCCATGGGACTCCATAGAGGAGAGGCTTCCTGCTTCCCACCCATCTTGGGCACTTGCTTCCTTACTCCTCCTTGTCCCCTGGCTCCACACCTCCTCCCCAGCAGGGATGCAGCCACCCCAGGTGGGTGCAGGAAATGGGAACTGGGGCTGCAAACACAGTAAGGGGCTTATGGGGAACCCACGGATCCCTGCAACCTCAAGGACCCATCCCTCAGTTCCTCCACTTTCCTCAGCCCTCTTCTCCCAGTCCCATCTCCTCCCTGTCAACCCTTCTCTCATGTAGAGACCTTCACTATCCAGCTGCTCCAGACCACCACCTTCCAAAACACCTCATTTGCAGACGTGGAGGGGCTGGGCCTGCTGGAAGACATCGAACTTGGCTTTCTTGATAAACACACATGGTCCATCCGCTTCTGCCAGCCCTGGGTGCGCCCAGCCCTGCCCCATGCTGACTGGGACACCATTGAAAACCTGCTTAAGATCTATTGGCACCAGTTCAACCATCTAATCAATGAAGGGGCCATGCAATGGGACATCCCATGTGAGTACTCAGTCTTCACTGCATCCCTTTTCTTGAAAAGCAGCTGGGAAGTGGGGAAGGATCTGATAGTGCTGGTTCTGTATAGGAGACACTGACTATGTCTGCAGGAAGCAATCCCAGTCCCTCACGCAACCTCTCTCTCCTCTTTGCCCTGCCAGACCCCTTTGTTGTTCAGTGCACAGCAGGCTGCATGCTGTACCCCAACAGAACCTCCCGGGCCTTTGGCTATGTGGGTTACAATGGTCAGGATTTCCTCAGCTTTGACACAAAGAATTTAACCTGGACCCTCTCCCAGGACACCGAGTTGTCACGGTATGTCCAGTCATTTCTCCAGAACTACACTGCCCTGGGTGAGCTGGTGGAAGTTCTTTTCAATGATACTTGCGTCGATGACATGGAGGTGCTCCTGCACTATGGGAGGGCAGCTCTGGAGAGACAAGGTGAGACCACCCTGACCCTGCAACAGCCACCCCAAAAGCCCCCACACCGGGGCCCAGCCGTGCCCACCAAGGCTTGCCCCACCCCTTTGCGCTCATTCCCCAGAGCTGCCTGTGGCCACGGTCTTCGCCCGCACCCCCAGCCTAGACCAGCTGCTGCTTGTTTGCCACGTCACTGGCTTCTATCCCCGTCCCATCAGCGTGGCCTGGCTGCGGGATGGCCAGGAGGTGCCTCCGGGCCCAGCGCTCAACACCAGCACCATCCTGCCCAACGCTGACCTTACCTACCAGCTCCGCAGCATCCTGGCCGTGGGCCCCCGTGATGGGCACAGCTATGTCTGCCGTGTGCGCCACCGCAGCCTGGGCACCCGCAGCCTTCTCATCCCGTGGGGTAGGTGCCACCCATGGGGGATGAGATGGGTGTCCTGCACCACCCTCCCCGACCAGATGGAGCAAACCCCAGAAAGTTCATGGCAGCTTCTCCTTATGTTTCCCAGGGAACTCAGAAGTGGTGCTGATCACAGGGCTCGTGGCCGGGCTGCTTGCAGCCATGGCCGTAGCTGCCATGTCGGTGCTTTGGGTGTGGAGACAAAGGTCAGTCCCTGTCTGCGCCGTGGAGCAGCAGTGAGAGAGGAGGGAAAAAATGCCATGGGGATTTCTGCACTGAGTAGCAAAGCTCTTGCTTGGGCCCTGGCAGATGCTGTCTGCGCTCCTACAAGGTCTCTGCCATGGAGCATCCAGCTATCCCCCTCTCATTTCAGAAAGCACCAGCAGATGGAGGAATCAGAGTCCAGGAACTCCATCCTGAGCAAAGAAGCCTAGCTCAGAAGAGAGCAAACAGTCCAGTCCCCATTCCCTCCCACTGCCTACGCAGTAACGAGAACTACCTTTTTCTGCTTCACCTAAGTTCTGGGCATTGCCAATTGCAAGACTAACTCGGTTCAGAGATACACAAGAGAAACCCGGTGAGAGAAATCTGAACTTTTGACTAACCTGAATTTTCTAAACAAATGCAAGAGCACATCTACGACCTTCTCACTTGTTACACATGATCATCTCTTAGCTTGTGGCACTGGCCAGTCCACCCACTAATGCTGTAGGGCACCTCAATACCCAGAGGCAAATTCTCCTGGTTCTGCTTCAGTAACGCTTTTGTCAGAAGGTGGAAAGCTGTCCCCTTCTACTGTCACTTTCTGGTTGTTTTTGTGTTGTTTTTTTTTTCTTCTTCCTAAAAATTACCTTTACTAACCATATTCCAGAAATATTTGTGCTGAGACTGAACTGTTCCACACAAACTAACAGAACCTGGCCAGAAATGGGTTTAAAAAGTGCTGAGTAAAACTGAAACTCTGGTGTAATGTGTGGGAGCTATATATGTGTATGAAATGAAAATAAACCATTCATATTTTCACTAAGATAATGTGCCTTTCCTTAGCAGTTGAATGGGCTTGGAGAGGTTTTGATCAGCCATGTATGCAAGTTAAAACACCACTGAATTATTGGCACTAATTGCAGGAAGCACCAAGGCAATGGTGGAAATGGGGGAAAAACAGTACATGTGTGCCTGTGCATATATGAACGTGTTCTCACGTACTGCATGGAAATAAGCAACTGTGCACACGGGGGTGAAGTGACCCCAAGGTTCCCAATAAAGGAGAAAAAAGAAGCCCATGGCCCATGAAAGACAGCAGAGGAAGACACACACAAAGTAGTGTAGTTCATGCTCCAAATCAATTTGAACATGTAGCTTCAAAAGGTTTGGTTTCACTGGATGACTTCTTGCAGTTTCCCAGGATAAGTCCGGCAGCCATGGCAAGCCAGAAAACCTGGCTGCCTTACGGCCATATCCTCCACAAATCCAATGGTGTTTGTTCTCCCCTGGCCAGAACCTGGAAACCACAAAGCTGGGTAAGGACTGCATTTCCCTAGCAGCCAGCGTCTCCTGCTGCCATCACATGGCTCAAGGACCTCACCACAAGAGGAGTGACACCAAGCCTCTCCCAGCCCCTCCTGACTTGGGACAGGCAGGTGAAATGCTTAGGTGGGCATGCCTTCCTGCAGCCTTGGCACCCGCAGGGCAATTCCTCTCCCAAGCAGAGTGGAACATCCTGCAGCACTCATGGTACCAGGCAGACCTGGAGATCAGGTGCAGCCAGTGAGGAAACCTGTCGAGGAAAGCTGTTCATGTGAATGACATCCCAAGAGACCCTACAGTACCACACCAACAAAAACCTGGTACCAGGGGGGTGTCTGCAAGTGTTTGCTTACATCCCCTAAGGCACCTTACAATAACACAGCCCAGCCATCCACAGCATCCCTACTTCTCTCTGGGACAGCTCCATGGAAACAAAAGTATTCCGTGTTTGGACACTACGGAGGTGCAACCCTCAAACTTGCTCTTGTATGTGGTTTTGGTTCTGCCTTTGCCCCCAGTGCAGGCACTACCCAGAAAAGGGGAAGAGAAACTACATGTTGAGGGGAGGAGCTGGGGAGGAGCAGTCAGTTTGGAACATTGTGCGGAGAGGTTGACTCTGGGCACCCCATGATCCCTCCAGCATTGGACACTGGTGCCAGTGGGGACAGAGCAGGGGAATGGCTCCCACCATTTCTGTTCCCATGCACAGGGGGCTCTTGGGGAGGGGGACCAGATTCCTCATCAAAGCTGGTGGGAAGGAAAGGGGAGTTGTGAGGCCCATCCCCAGGTGTTTAGAGCAGAGTTGGTGCTCCCCAGCCGTGTCCTACACCTTTGGTCTAGGTGGAACGACTTGTTGCCTCCTTCCTAGGAGCCCCATCTTCAGAATTAGGCAAGTGATGCAGGAGCAACTTGAGCTTGAGGATGGAGGTGACAGGAGCAGGAGGGGGTACCCCATCTTCCTGTGCAGGGGTTGAGAAGACAGCAACTGTCCTTCTCCAGTCAGGTCTGAAATCCAAATGCCATTGTCACCTGCATTGGTGCTGATGCATCCCACAAGAACATGGATAGTACAATAGGTGGGGAGGGGGAGTCAGGAAAACCCAGCCTAGATGCTGGAATATATATTTTCCTAGTTCTGTCTCCTGGGTCTCTTTCCCTGCCTTCTCCTTCTGGCTGGGCTTTTTCCAGCCCCAGACTGTCAGGGCACTTTTTGCTCAAGACCTTATTTCAGCTTTTGTCCCTCCCACATGTCCCCAGCCTTCAGCTTGGGACCTCTGGGCCCCTCCCTTGACACACTGATTCTCCAATTGGTGGAGAGGCACCGCAGTGACTGCTGGGCTGGGTTGAAGCTTAGGTTCCCACAGGTTCTTCCTGTTCCCACGGTCACTGCTGCTGCTTCTTCAGCCTTGCCGCATGCACCATGCAGCCTCCTCGCCTCCTCCTCTTCCTCTTTCTCGCAATCCTCCTCCCTGGGATGTGGGCAGACCCAGAGGGTAAGTGGGAGTCCTGGCTCACCTCAACTGCTCTTACCGCCCCTGCCCAGTCAGAGAACCCCACAAGTTCTGCTCAGGGGAGGCATGGCCAGGCCACTGTGCCATATAGGAGGGTGGATGATTCCCAGAACCAGAGGGCCACCTCCCACCGTGCATCACCTAAACATGCTTTGTCCCTGCCCACCCTCTCTGTTCCTGCCTCCAGCTCAGGACTTCTGCCTCACCAGCTCCAACACAGGGCCTTGGGCACATAAGCAGAAGAGACAACAGTGGTCCTCATCCAGGCCTTGGGTGTTGAGTTACCCTGCAAGATGTCCTCCCCCTGCAGGGAGCCCATGGATGCCAGGCAGATCTCAGCTCCACATGGTGCTGAGGGCCTCTTCCAGCAGCCTGTTGTTCATTAGGGAGCTGCACCTGCCACAGGGTTTTTTGGGCACTGCTGTCACACAGAGAGTTTTACAACCCCATGAGACCTTATGCTTCCGGGGCAGGTAGCATCAGACACAGAAAGTCAGGACTGATCTCTGGGCTGGGCTGGTGACCTGGCCCTGTCAGGGAGCCCCAAACCTGGACAAAATGCCCTTTTCTATCAAGCGTCCTCCATAGCCTCTGTACCATGTCCAGATCTTTGGCAGATACGAAGTCCTGGCACAGGTGTTTCTCCTGGAGGGAAACATCACCTCAAACGAGCAGCAAGGTGCCCCTTCATCTGCTCTGCGCAGTCAGACAGCAGCTGTGGCCAGGAGGAAGGCATGGAAGGGAGGGAACAAAATGCCTAAAATCCTCTGCAGGGGACAGCCACTTTGCTGAAAGTAAGATAGAGAAGGAAAAAGAGCAGTGAAGTCAGGGGAAGTTTGGACAGGAAAACAACCCTGAGCAGGATGAAGAGCATAGAATCATACAAGCGCAGAATGATTTGCAGTTTGAAAAGGACCTTTAAAGGCCATTTAGTCCAAACCCCCTGCCATGGACGGGGACACCTTCCCTGCTCAGAGTCCCAAACAACCTGGCCTTGAATGTTGCCAGGGATGGGACATCCACAATATGTCTGGGTAACACGTACCAGTTCCTCACTACCCCTCACTTGAAAACATTCTTTCTTATTATCTAATCTGAATCCCCTGTTCCCCTCCCCCTCCAGCACCTCCACTTCATATTTCCCCTTTAGCACCTCCATTCATCTCCTTCCTGCACCCTTTCCTGTCTCCATTCTCTCTCCTAGCAGAGCCACAGGTTATCCAGTACCTCCTGAGTAGCCTCTTTGCCAACATCAGCTCTGCTGAGGTGTCATGTGTGGCACTCGTAGGAGACATAGCCATCTTAACACTGGATCCAGCCAATTGGAGCATCCACTTCCACTGGCCCTGGGTCAGCCAGGCTGCAGCTGAAGGCGACGGGGAAAAGATGATGTCCCAGTACAAAATCGCTCTGCGCAATATGATCCGATTTGTGCATGACACAGTTCAGCAGACAAAACAGCATTGTGAGTACAGAAAGAAGCCCTGCCTGAGCCCTAGTCCTTCTCCCCAGGTTTTGGCTGTTGCCTCCTCCCCACCAGGATGGCATTTGGGAGGGGTCTCACAGGATGCAACAGCTCCTGAAACACTGCAGCTGCTGGGGAATATGACTAGCAGGAATGGGTAGGGCAGCAGACCAAAAATACCCCTAGGAGCTTCTGCCATCTGGCACAAGGAACCCCTCTGTATGTCAGGGAGCTGCCACCAAATTTACTGGAGCTGAAGGACTGACACAGGAAAGATCATGAAAGAGAAAACTGGGGGCAAATACTTTAGGGGACAGAATTCTTTTTAAGCAATCACCCCACATCAGTATGCACTCCATTCTTCCAAGGGGCCTGAGGGCTTGCAGGGTGTCTGGGGTCTCCTGAAGCATGGCCTTACCCCCTGCTGCCCATTGGACCCTGCTTTCCACTGTATCCCTGTATGTGCTCTCAGACACAACCCACCTCATGCCACCCACGTTCCACACACTCATGAGACCTCTCCATTGGCTTTGATGTTGACAGACCCATTGGTGGTTCAGTTCCGTGCAGGCTGTGTGCTGTACCCCAACACAACAAGCCAGGGCTTCCTCAGTGTTGGCTGGGATGGCAGAGACCTCGTAGCTTTTGAGGTAGATAAACAGGGCTGGGAGGCCCGACAGCCATCCCAGGTGGCAGAGCTGGTCAGCAAGAGCCTCAACAGACAGAAGTCTCTCAGA